ATCATTTGATAACCTCATCACCTTACTCTTTCCTATGTTCACTTTCATCTTTCTACCTTTACACACACTCCCAAACTCGTCCACTAACCTTTGCAACTTTTCTTTAGAATCTCCCATAAGCACAGTATCATCAGCAAAAAAGTAACTGTCAACTCCTATTTTGTATCTGAGTCTCCATAATTTAATCCCACCCCTCTCCTGAACACCCTAGCATTTACTTCTTTTACAACCCCATCTATAAATATATTAAACAACCATGTTGACATTACACATCCCTGTCTAAAACCCACCTTTACCGGGAAGTAGTCTCCCTCTCTTCTACACGTCCTAACATGAGCCTCACTATCCTTATAATTCTTTACAGCATTTAATAACTTACTACCTATTCCATATACTTGCAACATCTGCCACATTGCTCCCCTATCCACTCATAAGTATAATTATCTTTTATAATAATAATGCAGGTCCCTTCAAGGGAGGTTCCTTGATGCTGGTGAGGGGCTCTTGATCTAAGGAATTGGATGTGTGCTCCGGTTCCCTGAATTGAGTCTGAATACCTTCTTCCCCACATGCGCTGTGTAATCCCACGGGTTTAGCACTCCCCCATGATTATAATAATAACGTAAGTATGTAGTCTGCCTGAGGTACATACCTACATAGCTACACAATATTTAATGTGGCCCAGAGCCATATTATTAACATCGATATACCATGTTCACTAGGTAGTAGGTTGGTAGACAGCAACCGCCCAGGTAGGTACTACCGTCCTGCCATGCGAGTGTAAAACCAAAGCCTGTAATTGTTTTACATGATGGTAGGATTGCTGGTGTCTTTTGTCTCTCATAAACATGTAAGATTTCAGGTATGTCTTGCTACTTCTACTTACACTTAGGTCACACTACACATACATGTACAAGCATATATACACACACCCCTCTGGGTTTTCTATTTTCTTTCTAGTTCTTGTTTATTTCCTCTTATCTCCATGGGGAAGTGAAACGGAATTCTTCCTCCGTAAGCCATGCGTGTTGTAAGAAGCAACTAAAATGCCGGGAGCAAGGGGCTAGTAACCCCTTCTCCTGTATATATTACTAAATGTAAAAAAAGAAACTTTTGTTTTTCCTTTTGGGCCACCCCGCCTCGGTGGGATACGGCCAGTGTGTTGAAAGAAAGAATACCATTTTCACCGAGTTTAATCGTTTATAACAACTACCTTTAGATGCCATCATAAACAAAGGGAAAAGTAATGAATAATTTATGCCGAGAACTGTAAACAAAAGCGTTATGTAATAAGGGGAGTGACGTAATGTTTTCCCTCCGTCCAGCTACCACACCTCCATAGTATATAAACAAAATGTTAATATGCTATGTAACGTGTTTCTTATACAATTTGGAAGAAAATATCATAGAAGGATTAATGAAAATGTCTATATTAACATAAAATAAGACATTTAATGTGCCCAGTAGTGATTATTATTAGTATATTACGTAATGTTTTCCCTCTGCCTGGCAACCACTCCTCCATAGCATATAAATAGCATAAACCATACCACGGACGGGATTTGAGCCCGCGGTCAGAGAGTCTCAAAACTCCAGATTTCGTGAGTCGTGTTGACGGCAGTGAGGGGACTTGAGCTACAGTTCGTCACGGCCACGCTAGCTGGAGATTTGTCTGTAAAAACTTGCGTGTGTGGTCACAGTGGTGCCTATGCTAACCTTCCTATGGTGTAGAAATAGACCTAGTTGGATGAATCTTATTGTGGCTAGCTGGTCCAGTGGCTAACGCGACTGTCTGGAGTTTGGAGACTCTCTGACCGCGGGTTCAAATCCCGCCCGTGGTATGGTTTGTTTGCAATCGTGTCATTACGATTTCGTGAGTCATATAAATAGCATGTTTATATGCTATGTAACATGTTTCTTATATAATTTTGAAGAAAATATCATAGATTATTATTTTTTTATTAGCACACTGGCCGATTCCCACCAAGGCAGGGTGGCCCGAAAAAGAAAAACTTTCACCATCATTCACTCCATCACTGTCTTGCCAGAAGGGTGCTTTACACTACAGTTTTTAAACTGCAACATTAACACCCCTCCTTCAGAGTGCAGGCACTGTACTTCCCATCTCCAGGACTCAAGTCCGGCCTGCCGGTTTCCCTGAACCCCTTCATAAATGTTACTTTGCTCACACTTTACTCACACATAGATGACTTATTGAAAATGTCTATACTAACATAAAGTAAGGCATTTAATGTGCCAAGGAGTGATTATTATTAGTATTACATTAATAAAAACATCTATATTGATGTAAAATTAGACATTTAATGTGCCCAAGAGTGATTATTAATACATAATTTAGAGATGTGCTCATGGAGAATGTACACAAACCGGGTGGTGTGCACTCCTATTTGAAAGACTGCTTGCCATATTGAAAGTTTTGGTCATAATTTGAGATCACCGTATTAGCGGAACGCCATAAGGTGAAACGCCGAAAAGCGGGGCCCTACTGTATCATGATACAGGCGGGCCCCACTTATACAGCAGGTTAGGTTACAGGCTACTGCTGTAAAACTAAAATTGCTGTCAAGTGAAACATAGCCTTTTTTCACCTTCAAATGCATATAAAAGCCTGAAAGCATATTTAGACTAACATTAGTAAGTCAACAATAGAGCTAGGCCTAAAAAATGCATATACAGCACACACATTACTTTTTTTTATTAACACATTGGCTGTTTCCCCACCAAGGCAGGGTGGCCCAAAAAGAAAAAACTTTCATCATTCACTCCATCACTGTCTTGCCAGAGGCACGCTCACACTACAGTCACAAAACTGCAACATTAACTCCCTTCCTTCAGAGTGCAGGCACTGTACTTCCCATCTCCAGGACTCAAGTCCGGCCTGTTGTTCTCTGAATCCCTTCATAAATGTAACCTTGCTCACACTCCAACAGCACATCAAGTCCTAAAAACCACTTGGCTCTATTTGCACATATCTAACAAACTCATCCATGCTTGCTGGAAGTCCAAGCCCCGTGCGCACAAAACCTCCTTTTTCCCCTCCCTCCAACCTTTCCTAGGTTGGCCCCTACCACGCCTTCCCTCCACTACAGATTCATACACTCTCTCAGCCCTCTGGATAATAGTTTTAGTAATCCCGCACCTCCTCCTAATCTCCAAACTACGGATTCTCTGCATTATATTCACACCACGCATTGCCCTTAGACATGACATCTCCACTGCCTCCAGCCTTCTTGTTGCAACATTCACCATCCATGCTTCATGCCCATACAAGAGCACTGGTATAACTATACTCACATACATTTCCTTCTGCTTCCATGGATAAAGTTCTTTGTCTCCACAGACTCCTCAGTGCACCACTTGCCTTTTTCCCCTAGTCAATTCTATGATTTGCCTCGTCTTTCACAGACCCATCTGCTGACACTCCACTCCCATATATCTGAATACATTCACCTCCTCCATATTCTCTCCTTCCAATCTGATATCCAATCTTTAGTTACCTAATTTTTTGTTATCCTCATCACCTTGCTCTTTCCCATAGTCACTTTTAATTTTCTTCTTTTACATACCCAACCAAACTCATCCACCAACTTCTGCAACTTCTCTTCAGACTCTCCCAAAAGCAGTCATCAGCAAAGAGCAACTGTGACAATTCCCACTCTGTGTTAGATTCTTTATCTTTTAACCCCACACCTCTCACACCTGAGCATTCACTTCTCTTACAACTCCATCTATAAATACACTGAACAACCATGGTGACATCACATATCCCTAAGGCTTACTTTCATTGGGAAATAATCTCATTCTCTCCTACACACTCTAACCTGAGCCTCACTATCCTCGTAAAAACTCTTCACTGCTTTCAATAACCTACCTCCTATTCCATACATTTGCAATATCTGCCACATTGCCTCCTACTTAAAATATTTTTGTCCTTAGCTTACAGTGAGTGGCAAAAATATTTATTGTAGGAAGTCTTGAATGAATGAATAATGGGTATAACTGAAAACTGCTGCATTAGCAAAGTGCTGTAAAGCGGGGTCCTATGGTACTGTTATCATTACACCAACATTACTGGCAGAAACAGTATACTTTCATAAAACTGCAATTTTTCCAATAAATCATACCAAGTCTGTACTGGAAATATGAAAAAAAAAATGTTTGCAATGAAGAAACTTAGTGGTAACACAATTTTTACAAATGTATGCTCGTGCATACAAGCTTTGTCTAGGACCAGAAAGGTAAATTTCACCTAAAGTGCTACAGCTGGAAAATACTTTTATCAGAAAGGATGGTTAAATTCACCTTTATAAAAAATATATATCTATTAATAGTAACCTTAATTATACAACACACAACATACCCTCTACATATTATATATAACACACCAGTATACCTGTACCAGGTACTCAAACTTAGGCAACAAATATTACCATCAAAACCAAGTGCTAAACTCATATGGATCATTAAGGAGTAGAAGAATAAAATATTAATGGCACCTGTAGAGTGCCATTCCTTGTTGGCTTCCAGGGAGCCGGTAAAAAAATAATGTAACCTTTTCTGCACATTCCACTAATCACACAGGCCCCCACACAAAAGAAAACACCTTCCTGGGCCCACATGAGCATAAATTATGGCCTGAACCTTATCCAAAACACCATCATACTCCCACAACTACTACCACTACATTGATTCTACTAGTGATGCTATGCCACAGAGCTTTCATCTCAGTCACCCGTCCAATACATGTCCGTTTTATGTTCAGTCTACGTTCACTGACACTATTTTAATGAAGCGTTTTTAATACATTTTTTTTTTATTTTACAACAATGCAGTGACCTGCATAATACAAGTCTAGGCCACTCCAAAGCTGAATTGCTTGTAAAACCCTCACACACACTAATTTCTATTCTTCTAAAAAAAGGTAAACACCCCTTAGTGCAATTAAAAAAAGCAGTGTTGTCTATAGGCAACAATATTACCTAAAGCAATGTAGGCAAACATGATGCAGTATGAGATGAGGATGGTGATTACATCGCCCTCACTCTCACGCTCCAGTTCATCCTGGATCGCTCGTTCCGCAGAGAAAGCAATGTCCATCATAGGATGAGAATAGTTCTTCATAAACTGGAGAAAACTGTCAAAAAGTAAGACATTTGAGTAAGAAGCAATGCAAATTATTTGAAGAAACAAAATGCCCAACAAATTTACAAGACATTTAAGACTGTCTGGATCTTTATTATTATTATTATTATTATCACACTGGCCGATTCCCACCAAGGCAGGGTGGCCCGAAAAAGAAAAACTTTCACCATCATTCACTCCATCACTGTCTTGCCAGAAGGGTGCTTTACACTACAGTTTTTAAACTGCAACATTAACACCCCTCCTTCAGAGTGCAGGCACTGTACTTCCCATCTCCAGGACTCAAGTCCGGCCTGCCGGTTTCCCTGAACCCCTTCATAAATGTTACTTTGCTCACACTCCAACAGCACGTCAAGTATTAAAAACCATTCGTTCTCCCTTCACTCCTATCAAACACGCTCACGCACGCCTGCTGGAAGTCCAAGCCCCTTGCACACAAAACCTCCTTTACCCCCTCCCTCCAAAACCTTTCCTAGGCCGACCCCTACCCGCCTTCCTTCCCCTACAGACTGATACACTCTTGAAGTCATTCTGTTTCGCTCCATTCTCTCTACTGTCCGAACCACCTCAACAAACCTTCCTCAGCCCTGTGGACAACAGTTTTGGTAATCCGACCTCCTTTCCCAACTTCCAAACTACAAATTCTCTGCATAATATTCACACCACACATTGCCCTCAGACATGACATCTCCACTGCCTCCAGCCTTTTCCTCGCTGCAACATTCATCACCCTGCTTCACACCCATTAAGAGTTTTTGGTAAAACTATACTCTCATACATTACCCTCTTTGCCTCCAAGGACAAGTTCTTTGTCTCCACAGACTCCTAAGTGCACCACTCACCCTTTTCCCCTCATCAATTCTATGATTCACCTCATCCTTCATAGACCCATCGCTGACCGTCCACTCCCAAATATCTGAATACATTCACCTCCTCCACATTCTCTCCCTCCAATCTGATATCCAATCTTTCATCACCTAATATTTTTATCCTCATAACCTTACTCTTTCCTGTATTCACTTTTAATTTTCTTCTTTTGCACACCCTACCAAATTCATCCACCAATCTCTGCAACTTCTCTTCAGAATCTCCCAAGAGCACAGTGTCATCAGCAAAGAGCAACTGTGACAACTCCCACTTTATGTGTGATTCTTTATCTTTTAACTCCACGCCTCTTGCCAAGACCCTCGCATTTACTTCTCTTACAACCCCATCTATAAATATATTAAACAACCACGGTGACATCACACATCCTTGTCTAAGGCCTACTTTTACTGGGAAATAATTTCCCTCTTTCCTACATACTCTAACTTGAGCCTCACTATCCTCATAAAAGCTCTTTACAGCATTTAGTAACTTACCACCTATTCCATAAACTTGCAACATCTGCCACATTGCTCCTCTATCCACTCCATCATATGCCTTTTCTAAATCCATAAATGCAATAAAAACTTCCCTACCTTTATCTAAATACTGTTCACATATATGCTTCAATGTAAACACTTGATCTACACATCCCCTACCCACTCTGAAGCCTCCTTGCTCATCCGCAATTCTACATTCTGTCTTACCTCTAATTCTTTCAATTATAACTCTACCGTATACTTTTCCTGGTATACTCAGTAAACTTATTCCTCTATAATTTTTACAATCTCTTTTGTCCCCTTTCCCTTTATATAAAGGGACTATACATGCTCTCTGCCAATCCCTAGGTACCTTCCCCTCTTTCATACATTTATTAAACAAAAGTACCAACCACTCCAACACTATATCCCCCCCTGCTTTTAACATTTCTGTCATGATCCCATCAGTTCCAGCTGCTTTACCCCCTTTCATTCTACGTAATGCCTCACGTACCTCCACCACACTTATATTTTGCTCTTCATATATATATATATATAGATATATATATATAGGTAGTAGGTTGGTAGACAGCAACCAGCCCAGGAGGTACTACCGTCCTGCCAAGTGAGTGTAAAACGAAAGCCTGTAATTGTTTTACATGATGGTAGGATTGCTGGTGTCCTTTTTTCTGTCTCATGAACATGCAAGATTTCAGGTACGTCTTGCTACTTCTACTTACACTTAGGTCACACTACACATACATGTACAAGCACATATATGCACACCCCTCTGGGTTTTCTTCTATTTTCTTTCTAGTTCTTATTCTTGTTTATTTCCTCTTATCTCCATGGGGAAGTGGAACAGAATTCTTCCTCCGTAAGCCATGCGTGTTGTAAGAGGCGACTAAAATGCCGGGAGCAAGGGGCTAGTAACCTCTTCTCCTGTATATATTACTAAATGTAAAAGGAGAAACTTTCGTTTTTCCTTTTGGGCCACCCCGCCTCGGTGGGATACGGCTGGTGTGTTGAAAGAAAGATATATATATATATACACACACACACCCACCCCAGGAGCTAAGACTCGACCCCTGCAACCACAAATAGGTGAGTACACACAAAAAAAAGGATACAAAAAAAAAAAAAAGCCACAAATAAATGCTCGTCTGTAAAATCTTGTATTTGAGGTCACAGCTCTGTTCATATTAACCTCCCTAATGTTTAAAAATACACCTAGTTGGATGATTCTTATTAGGCCAGTATGGTACAGTGGATAGCATACAAGGCTGCTAGTTTTAGCACTGGCTTGCCATGACAAACTCGCTATTCAGCAAGGTGTTTACAATAATGTCAACACGATTTTGCAACTCAAATGTCCAAAAAACAAAGAACAGATCAACAACCTTGCCAGAATGCATATATTAGCAGGGCTTCATTTCACAATGACATGATAGGATGGGAGAATCAGCTCAAGAGACTAAACTATCAATGCCAGCATATTAAATGATAAAAGATGTGGACCAAAAGTTGGAGTTCAAACCCTAACTAGCCCAATTCATTAAGAGTACACACAAGTTAAATCTAATATGTTTTGCAAATTTTCTTATCAAAAACATTACGAACAAAGGTTACTCACGCTTCCTCCCAAGCCATTGCCTTCTCTATCTTCTCCTTATCATAGTAGTTGTTGACAACAAACACAATAACCAGAGCTGTGGCATTCTTGTAGGGTGGGTTGGGTCCAAGGACTCTACTTCCATTAAGGAATCCTCCTAGGGCTGTGTATGGAAAAACTGGGCCTCCATATTCACCAAGGCAAGGAATATTTAACTGAGGATCTAGAGGTGAGACAGGATTCCTGTAAAATAAAGCAGAGAATATTGACAAGTTCAGTAATAGCAATTTATGGTATAAATAAATATAAACAAGTACAGTGGACCCCCGCATAACGATCACCTCCGAATGCGACCAATTATGTAAGTGTATTTATGTAAGTGCGTTTGTACGTGTATGTTTGGGGGTCTGAAATGGACTAATCTACTTCACAATATTCCTTATGGGAACAAATTCGGTCAGTACTGGCACCTGAACATACTTCTGGAGTGAAAAAATATCGTTAACCGGGGGTCCACTGTACAGTGGTACCTCAGGATACGAACAGCTCAAAACTTGAACAATTATGTAAGTGTACTTATGCAAGTCCTAGGTAGTAGGTTGGTAGACAGCAACCACCCAGGGAGGTACTATCGTCCTGCCAAGTGAGTGTAACACGAAAGCCTGTAATTGTTTTACATGATGGTAGGATTGCTGGTGCCTTTTGTCTGTCTCATAAATATGCAAGATTACAGGTATGTCTTGCTACTTCTACTTACACTTAGGTCACATTACACATACATGTACAAGTATATATATATATATATATATATATATACACACCCCTCTGGGTTTTCTTCTATTTTCTTTCTAGTTCTTATTCTTGTTTATTTCCTCTTATCTCTATGGGGAAGTGGAGCAGAATTCTTCCTCCATAAGCCATGCGTGTTGTAAGAGGAGATTAAAATGCCAGGAGCAAGGGGCTAGTAACCTCTTCTCCTGTATATATTACTAAATATAAAAGGAGAAACTTTCGTTTTTCCTTTTGGGCCACCCCGCCTCAATGGGATACAGCTGGTGTGTTGAAAGAAGATGACTTATGTAAGTGCTTTTATAAGTGTATTTTTGGGGGGTCTGAAACGGATTAATCTAATTTACATTATTCCTTATGGGAACAAATTTGTTTGGTATCGGCACTCGAACAGCCTCCTGGAGCGAATTAAGTTCGTATTCCGAGGTACCGCTGTATAAGCAAAAGGAAAATTCCCAGTAAACTGTGTACTTAGGTGACTAAATTTCTGGAGAACAAGGAGCTAGTAATTTCCTTTTCTGTATAAATTACTAAAAGAAAATTATGAAGCTATGTAGTCTGAATGAGCATGGATCAAGTAAAAAATTCGAAAAAAAAAAAAAAAAAAATGATTGTTCAGGTTATGAAAGAAAGGAAACTGGATGTCACAATACTTAGTGGAAAAAGTATGGGAAAGCTTTAATGGGGAGGAGTAAATGGGATTATATCTGTTTTATCTCAGAATGAAAGCTAAAGAGGTATATGTGGAGTCAAAAAACGTTATCTATGGAGGCAAAGAAGGGAATGTATGAAAGTATAGTAGTACCAACACTCTTATATGGGTGTGAAGCTTGGGTGGTAAATGCAGCAGCGAGGAACGGTTGGAGGCAGCGGAGATGTCCTGTTTAAGGGCAATGTGTGGGTTGTAAATATTAATGGCAGAAAATTCGGTGTGTGGAAATTAGGAGAAGGTGTGGAGTTAATAAAAGTAATTAGTCAGAGGGCAGAAGAGGGTTTGTTGAGTGGTTGGTCATTTAGAGAAATGAATCACAGTAGAATGACATGGAAAGCATATAAATCTATAGGGGAAGGAAGGCGGGGTAAGGGGGTCTCCTGAAAGGGTTGGGAGAGGGGGTAAAGGAGGTTTTGTGGGTAAGGGGCTTGGACTTCCAGCAAGCGTGCGTGAGCGTGTTAGATAGGAGTGAATGGAGACGAATGGTACTTGGGACCTGACGATCTTGGAGTGTGAGCAGGGTAATATTTAGTGAAGGGATTCAGGAAACCGTTATTTTCATATAGTCGGACTTGAGTCCTGGAAATGGGAAGTACAATGCCTGCACTTTAAAGGAGGGGTTTGGGATATTGGCAGTTTGGAGGGATAGTTGTGTATCTTTATATGTTATGCTTCTAGACTGTTGTATTCTGAGCACCTCTGCAAAAACAGTGATAATGTGCGAGTGTGGTGAAAGTGTTGAATGATGATGAAAGTATTTTCTTTTTGGGGATTTTCTTTCTTTTTTGGGTCACCCTGCCTCGGTGGGAGACGGCCGACTTGTTGAAAAAAAAAAAAAAAAAAAAAAAAATTAATAGTAATTTTGTTAACATGCTGGCTGTCTTCCACCAAGGCAAGGTAACCCAAAAAGAAACACTTTCACCATTTAGAGAGGATGGAGCAAAATAGGATGACATGGAGGGTGTATAAATCTGTAGGGGTAATCCTAGGTATGGATGGAGGGGGAGGGGGGTAAAAAAGGTTTTGCATGCAATGGGCTTGGACATGCAGAAGACATATGTGAGCACATGTTAGATAGGAGTGAATGGAGACTAATGGTTTTTGGGACCTGAGGAGCTCTTGGAGTGTGAGCAGGATAATATTTTGTGAAGGGATTCAGGGAAACCAGTTAGCCAGACTTGTCCTAAAGGTGGGAAGGACAGTGCCTGCACTATAAAGGAGGGGTTTGGGATAATGGCTGTTTGGAGTGACATCTAAACTGTCATATCTGAACACCTCTGCAAAGACAGTGATTGTGTGAATGATGGTGAAAGTGTTGAATGATGAGTTTTTTTTTTCTTTTGGGGTCACCCTACCTCGGTGGGAAACGGCCGACATGTTAAAAAAAAAAAAAAAAAAAAAAAAAAAAAAGTCAGGCCCATCTTAAAGTATACAGCACCAGTATGGAACCCACACCTGAGAAAGCATGTTACAAACTGGAGAAAGTGCAGAAGTATGCAACAAGACTAGCTCCAGAGCTAAGGAGTATGAGCTACACAAAAAGGTTAAAGGAAATGAATTTAATGACCCTGGAGAACAGAAGGACCAAGGGAGACATCATGATTACATACAAAATACTCGAAGAGGAATTCATAGGGCAGACAGGTACAGGTTGTCTGAGGCTGGAAACAGGTACTCAGGGATACAGATGGAAGATAAAGGCACAGGTGAGTTGCATGGACATCAGGAAGTATTTCTTCAATCTCAGGATGGTTGGGAAGTGGAGTGACCTTGATGAAAAAGTGGTGGAGACAAACTCTATACAGTTTTAAGGATAGGTATGATATGGCCCATGAGGCTAGAAGTGTGAATCTGGCAAGCTATCAGTTGAGAAGTGGGGCCAGGAGCTAAGATTCAATCCCTGCAACCACATATAGGCAAGAACATACATATAGACACAAAAGGTAAAAGCATTTCAATACTAAGTTTAAGGTATAACATGGTAGCTCAGGCCTACCTGATACAAGAATCCAAATGGCTGAGATAATCAATTTCAAGACCAAATGAATCCGTGTGATTGAGATTCAAGTTGGTCTCATTATTCTGGAAGTAATTCAAGACGCTCTGTATGGTGCACTTGTTATTAATGGGTGAAAGTGGCTTAAAGCAGATGTCTTCCAGGTATACACCTATCTTGTTCACACTACCTGATATCTGCAAGGGCAACAAAGTAAATAAGCAATTCATAATGACTTAACATCACATAACCTATTACAAGCAAAATCTGTTGTGGCATACAGCATACAAAAAATTTAATGAAAATTATAGACAGATGAGATAAAGGTAGGATAAGTGAGCATGTTAGTAATATGTGAGGTGCCATGAGTGGGGCAAAGAGTTACTTAACAACAGCTGTGTCAGATACCCTATATTTGCAGCCCTTCTCTATTGCAAAAAAATTGGATTGTGCATATAGAAATGACAAAGCAAGTGAACTGGTTTCAGAGAATCTTGAGTATTGGAAGGAAGTGAAGGGAAAAGAATGACAGATCGAGAAGAAAATTCTAAGATGAAGACACTAATTAAAGGTGAAAGGCAAATTACTGTGTGCAGGACACACATGAATGAAGATAATGAACAGAGGACCTTGAAAAACTAAGTAAAAGAAAGAACATATAAAAGAAGAGACTGTGAAAGAAAAGAAAAATATGGAAAGAACAGAGGACAATGGCAGGGGTACAACATGTGAGATTAAAATTATCATGTGATTATGATAAGTCACCTAAAATAAGTAACAACCTTTTCCATAGAAAGTGTCCTTGTGTAGGAATTAGGCATTACAGTATTTTCAGTAAAATATTAAGAAGACTTTTGGGGAACATAAATAGCCCACTGTACTGAATGTGTGAAGTTAACTTCCACTTCTGAAGCAATCACTGATGCTATTTTGCATCAGTTGAATTGTGGAGATGCAGGACCAAGGGCTACAGCCCACCCTTACAAGCTCAAACAGGTACATTAAACCCTCTAATAATGCAACTTTATACTGCATGATTTTGTTGCAATATAACTGATAGTGTGAATGATGGCCAGCATGTTAAAAGAAAAAAAGTGGAATAAATAATTTTGATAGAGGCACAAAACTATTATACACTTTAGAGAATCAGCTTGTGTAAAATATTGGTGGTACATGTCCTAGCATTAACTTAGGTGCAAAGTTTGGGTAAGACACACCAGAGAACATGACTCCTGCTGTATTAATGTTGGTAAAATTACCGACAATATGTTAGATAAAAGGACACAATTGCAACTGATGTGACATTTTATTGTGGCAACGTTTCACTCTCCAGGGGCTTTATCAAGCCATTACAGGTCACATCCGCTTAACCCTTTCATGGTCGGCAGGCCCTCTCCTAAACTTGTTCACAGGGTCGGAAATTTTTCGAGGAAAAAAAAAATAATTTTTTTTCTTATGGAATGATAGAGAATCTTTTCCTGATCATAATGACACCAAAACTATGAAATTTGATGGAAAATTTCCGGAATTATGCTCTTGCTAAGTTAGCAGTCTCAACGATATTTACGCATCGATGACTTCGCCCACTTTGAGCCCTATTTTCGGCCAATTCCAATGTACCAGTCGACAAAAATCATAACTATTTTGCTAGAACTCTATTTTTTCTATCGAATGAGTACAAGAAACCACCCATTTACCGATTTCAACTATACAATAAATTAGTCAGAAATTGGCAATTTTGCCAATTTCACACAAATTTCAAACGATGCCAATTTCCAAATAGGGTCCAGAATAAACAAGACGGACATTCCTGGCACTAAGATAACACTTCTGCTCATTAGTCACGTCCCCAGGCCTGTTACATTTCTTTTGCTTTACACTTTGAATTTTTATTCTCACAAAATATAGAAGATTTACTGTTATGCAGACTACTGCATTAGTGTAGAAATGGTATAAATAATATCAGCACACTTGTAAAAGAATATTAGACTCACCAGTTGATGTGTATTGCACGCATGCCATGTTTTGTTTACTTTTGAACTTTGGCAAAAATCAAACATTTCTGCTACTTCGAGCTCAATTTCAAGGTACTTTTCATTGTGAAACCAATCAAAATCATCTCAATTTCTGTAATATGTCTTCCATTCTATAAAAGGAGACCAGGAAAACTAGATTATAACCATAAATAGCAAACAAAAATACACTGCAAAGTCGCTGTTTTAAACCCAAAATACAGCCTGAGTTTTTTTTTTCTCATTATGCACTGTGTGCTGCAGGATTTTTTTTATACTGTGCACACTGACCACATAGACCCATTCTTTCATGTGTGGGCCTACCAGCTTTCTCTCGCTAGATCTGAAGGCGCTAGAATTTATGCATACTAGTACTGCACCAACCCTGGCGTGCAATCCGTACAAGTACGGCACCAACCCTGAAAGGGTTAAGGTGGAACCTAGCTGTAATGGCTTGATAAAGCTCCTAGAGCGCAAAACATTGCCACAATAAAATGTCACATTAGTTGCTCTTGTGTCTTTTGATCTTACATGACTCCTCTTCCACTGGCAACCAATGCCAACAACAGTGGTATCCTGGAAGCCTCTTGTGCTTGACTAACTCTATTATCAAGCTATTCTGGATATTTTCATCACTTCCTTCTGGTCTCTGGATTAACCCTTTCAGGGTCCGTCCCATAGATCTATGGCTTTACGTTCAGGGTCCAAACTGTAAATCTACGCCATGAGTTCAGCTCACTCTGATAAGCTGTGAGTGGTAAATTTGGGCCTAGATATGAGAGAATACATCTATGTGGTATGTGTGCACCACATAAAACATATCCTGCAGCACACAGTGTATAATGAGAGAGAAAAACTGAGACCATGATTTTCGAATAAAACGGTGACTTTGCAGTGTTTTTTCATATATTTGTTATAGTTGTATTTGCGATTTCTTGGTCTCATTGATAGAATGGAAGACATATTACAGAAATAGAGATGATTTTGATTGGTTTTAGCACTGGAAATGGCTTGAAACCGAGCTCAAAGTAGCGGAAATGTTAAATTTTTGCCGATGTTCAAGAGTAAACAAACGACCTCACACGTCTAATACACACCAGCTGGTGGGTCTAATATACATTCACAAATGTGTTGATATTTATACAATTATTGCAATATTGCATAACAGTAAACCTTCTATTTTTTGGTTTGAATAAAAATTCATTATGTGATTAAAAAATAAAAATGGAATTCATTTGTAAAGTCTCAAAATGTAACTAATGAACAGAGGAAATGTTAGTTTAGTGCCAGGAATACCTACATTGTTTATGCTGGACCCTATTTTGAAATTGGAATATTTTGAACTTTGTGTTAAATTGGCCAAATTATCAATTTCCGATCACTATTTTGTAGTTGAAACAGTTGACTTGGCGATTTCTTGTACTCAATCGATAGAAGAGAAGTAATACTAGTGAAATAGCTAAGAATTTGGTCGACTGGAATAATGTAATTGGCCTAAAATGGGAGTCAAAGTCAGCAAAATTGCAGATTCGTAAATATCGGTGACACATCAAAATTCGCGAGAGCATAATTTCATCAATTTTCCATCAAATTTCGTACTTTTTGTTTTATTACCTTCAGAAAAAGATTATCTACCATTTCATAAGAAAAAATAAAAATTTTTTTGGAAAATTCTTGGACCCTGGTGTGCACTTTGAAATTTGGCCTCTGGACCCTGAAAGGGTAAACTACAGCACCCAATAGAAACACTGGTAATGGTGAAGGTAAGGATTTAGACATGTGTGACACCTGACTATTTTTGTTTGAAGACATTTCATAAATCAGTGTATTTATCTATTCAATACAGAGAAAATAGGCAAAGACAGTACATGAGGTATTAACCCTTTCAGGGTCAAAGGCCAAAATCTGAAGTGGTGCCCCAGTGTCCAAGAATTTTCAAGAAAAACTTTTTTTATTTTTTCTTATGAAATGGTAGAAAATCTTTTTGTGAATGTAATAAAACAAACAGTACGAAATTTGATGGAAAATTGACGAAATTATGCTCTCGTGAATTTTTGTGTGTCAGCGATATTTACGAATTGGCGATTTTGCCGACTTTGACCCCCATTTTAGGCCAATTACATTGTTCCAGTCGACCAAATTCTTAGCTATTTCAGTAGTATTATTTCTATTCTATCAATTGAGCACAAGAAATCACCAAGTCAACTGTTTCAACTACAAAATAAAGTGACCGGAAATTGGTGATTTGGCCAATTTAACACAAAGTTCAAAATATTCCAATTTCAAAATAGGGTCCAGAATAAACAATGTAGGTATTCCTGGCACTAAACTAACATTTCCTCTGTTCATTAGTTATATTTTGAGGCTTTACAAATAAATTCCATTTTGATTTTTTATTCACATAATGAATTTTTATTCACACCAAAAAATAGAAGATTTACTGTTATGCAATATTGTAATAATTGTATAAATATCATCACCACATTTGTGAATGTATATTAGACCCACCAGCTGGTGTGTATTAGACGTGTGAGGTCATTTGTTTACTCTTGAACATCGGCAAAAATTTAACATTTCCACCACTTTGAGCTCAGTTTCAAGCCATTTCCATTGCTAAAACCAATCAAAATTATCTCTATTTCTGTAATATTTCTTCCATTCTATCAAATGAGACCAAGAAATCACAAATACAACTATAAAAAACATACGAAAAAACACTGCAAAATCGCTGTTTTAATCGAAAATCACGGTCTCAGTTTTTTCTCTCATTATACACAGTGTGCTGCAGGATTTGTTTTATGTGGTGCACACATACCACATAGTTGTAGTCTCTCATATCTAGGCCTAAATTTACCACTCACAGTTTATCAGAGTGAGCTGAGCTCATGATGTAGATCTACGGTTTGGACCCTGAACGTAAAACCGTAGATCTACGGGACGGACCCTGAAAGGGTTAAGCACCTCAGCCTGGAAGCAGATGTTCAATGCTTTAGTCTTGATGGATAAAGTACTGACCACCAAAACATCTTCAAATAATGATAGCCAGATGTTACATATGTCTAAATCCATAAATTATTGTCTTTTTCTTTCAACGTACTGGCTGTATCCCACCGAGGCGAGATGGCCCAAAAGAAAAAACTGAAGTTCCTCCTTTTACACTTAGTAATATATACAGGAGAAGGGGT